CTTGATTGAAAAGCTAATTTTAGTTTATTTTAGTTTTGCCTTCTTTTTTGCAGTTTCAAAAAGCACTGCTACACAATAAGATTTGCCTTTAATTTCTTGCACAGGATATATATATATATATCTCCAGCATTCCTGGGCTGCAAAATTTCTGAAGATTATAAAATTACAGCACAAGATTGTCATTGTTGTTATTGTTAGTCGTGAAGTCATGTCCAACCATCGCAACCAATGGACAACATTCTTCTAGGCCTTACTGTCCTCTTTCATTCCTCGGAGTCCATTTAAGTTCATGCCGACTGCTTCAGTGACTCCATCCAGTCACCTTATTCTTTGTTGTCTTCTTCTTCTTTTGCCCTCAATCTTTCCCAGCATTAGGGTCTTCTCCAGTGAGTCCTTCCTTCTCAGTAGGTGGCCAAAATATTTGAGTTTCATCTTCAGGATCTGGCCTTCTAAAAAGCAGTCAGGGTTCATGTCCTCTATGACTGACCAGTTTGATCGCCTTGCAGTCCAAGGGATTTACAGGAGTCTTCTCCAGCACCATAGTTCAAAGGCCTCAATTCTTTGGCTCTCAGCTTTCCTTACGGTCCAACTTTCACAGCCATACATTGCAACTGGGAAAACCATAGCCTTGACTACACTTTTGTTGGCAGGGTGATATCTCTGCTTTTTAGTATGCTGTCTATATTTGCCATAGCTTTCCTCCCCAAGAGCAAGCGTCTTTTAATTTCTTGGCTGTAGTCCCCATCTGCCATGATCTTGGAGCCCAGGACAATAGAATCAGTCACTACCTATCACTTCCTTATCTATTTGCCAGGAATTGAGGGGGCCAGATGCCATGATCTTAATTTTCTTAATGTTGAGTTTCAAGCCAACTTTTGCACTCTTCTCCTTCACCCACATCAAGAAGCTCTTTAGTTCCTCACTTTCTGCCATTAGAGTGGTATCATCTGCATATCTGAAGTTGTTGATATTTCTCCCGGCAATCTTAATTCCAATTTATGATTCATCTAGCCCCGCCTTTCTCATGATGTACTCAGCACAAGATTAGGATGTTCTGTAATTTATTGTTATCTGTTACAGATTTTTATCCCAGGTTTAGTAGCCTTGTAAAATTGCAACTGCAGGTTTACATTAGAATGAAATTATATCTATTATTCCTGTCCTGTCCCAACCTATATTGCTGCTTTGTAACAATGACTTCATCTTAAATATGAACCAGAGATCATAATATATTTATTTCTCTAGATTTATTTAGAAGACAAATTGTTAAAATTAAATCTATTCCAGTTATTATTATATTCAACTGCATTCTGCTGACACAGTTTGTTCTGAAAATTTTTTTTTTCCTTGCCACACAATGTCTTAAAGAAAGTAATTGTAAAAACATAATGCTAACATTAAAAGGAAATGAACTATTCTACTTACAGGATTTTTATTCTTTAAAATATTCCTTATGTGAGCATATTTAATCTTTCTAAAACAATTACTATAACTCTAAAGAAATAGAGTGCTTTTTATTATAAAAATTATGGATGTTGTTATTCAGATAAGACCTGCTGAATACATTTCCACAATATAGTACTGTTGCTATAAAAAGCTGTGAGAAAATCAAGGGTTTGATAGTTGATAGTCTCAGGCAAGTAATTATTTGACTTTATCAGTCCAAGGAATGCTGCAGAGCAAAACATGATGGTCCCTGTAAATCAGTGGTGGGTTGCTACCAGTTTGCCCCAGTTCAGGCAAACTGGTAGCGGCGGTGGCGGGAGGCTCTGCACGTGCACAGAAGCAGCGCACGCACACGCATACACCCACGAGCAAACCGGTAGCAACGGAATTTGAATCCCATTACTGATATAAATTGAATAAATCTAAATATCCCTATTAACAAATACAGAGTTTGGTCAGGTTTGTGTAGCGCAGCTACTTTGAATCTGCATGTTTTATTCAATTCGTTCAAAGGTAATTCAATTCAAAAATTCTTTCAAAACAGAACAGAATGTATAGAGCGAGCTGTTCTTACACTTATGGGTGCAAATGAATGTCCAGGACTTTCATTCTATTATTATCTCTCCAGTGATCTGAAGGCTGACTAATTTTCCACGCAGCAGTTAAATTCCAAAGAAACATATGACGGTACCTTTTTACTAGGCTTTTTCAATAGTGATTCTATTGTCAATAGAAAAGGAAAATGCTAAGAAATGGTGCAGTTGTTTCCTTTCTATTGCAGAATCACCCACTTTGCTTTTCTGTTCACAAATTTGACTGAAGACTTTGAAAATCCTGCTATGTTTCAGTTATAAATTTAACTTCTTGAATTGGATGATCTTATGAGCAAATGACAAGTAGAGCTGTAAATTCTAATACTTACAGCTACTCACAGCTTCAAAAATATAAGTATTGGAATACTTTATAAAGTGTGTGAGAAACAAGGAGAAATTAATAGAAATTCATAAGTGAGGAACTGACTATCTCTACTAATGAAAGGAAGTCTTTTATTTGTAGAAAGGAAACTTAGATCCAAAAATATTAATCACTCCATACTCATTAATTAAACTCATAGGTTATAACTTATTAACTTTGTATCCTTTTTCATATGTGATTTTCTCCTGTTAGCTGACTACCTTGAATAATCATATTTTTCAAAGCAGAATTGTACCATTTTATTTTTTAGCTCATTTTATCATGCACCTGAAACTCAATAATCTTCAAAAAACTGACCAAAAAAAATCTTTCATGCTGTTCCAACAAAATGGTCAAAGTCTCAAACATGAACTTTTAATATGACTTGATTTGAAAGAATATTCAAAACATCATTTTACACCAGTGATTTGAAGTTTTGAATCAACTCAGGGGAAAAAAAAACATTTCTATATGTTCTTTGAATCATCCTAATGGATACTGAAATATCTAGTTCAATTCCAAAAGGATTCTTCTCACAAAATAGACAGTTTCTGATTGCCAAAATCTGTTTTGTACAATATGATTAACTTATTGCTCTACTAAAATAATGCACTGCTTTATACTGTAGCTACAGTTAATTTTAAAAAGTACTTACTATTTCCAATACCATTGCAAAGTCTGTTAAATTACTTCTAAATGTCAAGAAAAATAGTCCTCCAAAGACAGCTAAAATGTAAAGCTTTTAATCCAGGGACATACTTATTTACCTTTGCCACCTGGATTCAAAATCTCTGACAATTCTAAAAGATTACATGATGTTAACTGCCATTTATTGTCACTGCGTCATTTTCACAGGACTTTAGAACCAATGTGAGATAATGTCAAAGAGGCTCCTTTTTCCTTAGAACTGCTTTGTGCCTTAAACTGTTATCCAGATTCACATCATACACTATTCAAAGCATGCTGCTATTGTAGATTTTCTCCATTGACAATCTCTACTGTAAGAAAATTTAAGCAGGTTATGCAATTGCAGGATGGAATCCATGACCTGAATCTACATCTTTGTACCATCTGATCTTTTAATTAAAAGAGATTACCATAAATTTCCCACTTTCTATCCCATTCAATCAAACACCAAATCCCCTGCAATTCAAACTTTCTATTTTAGGAAGTTTAGTTCCTGTACAGCTTTGATTCACCATAATGTCATTAGAGAACACTCTGTCAGTCAGTCACTATTGTACTCTGACCCTATTAATGTCAGAAGAGTCATGATTATTCCTTTCATATTTAATTCACTCTCTTTGAAAATGTCACGTGTGCATGTGTTCCTGGAACAAATGCAAACAGTGCATAAAACTGGATTGCTAAAAAAATGCCAGCAGGGCACATGGATGTCAGCAAGTGTGAGTTGAACAAAGATGAATATAATGATCGTGTCCACTTTACCTATGCTAGAAAAGAAGAATTAAAACATACACACAAAGAGACATACAAAGATAGACCTTTGACAATTCTACCATTTAATAAGAAAATAATCCAGGCAGGCAAATATTGCTTCAGAAAACAGTCAAAAGTAAAATCATTGAACGGTGATTTATTTATTTGCAAAATAAATAATACAAAATGGAACATTTCTCCCAAAATATTAAATATTCTTTAATATTAATCTTCTATAAAAATTGATAGATTGATAGATTTATTGACAGATAAGTTATAGATTTTTGGTAGGTAGATATAGTTGATAAATAGATACAAATAGTCTATTCATTATAATATAAAAGCTTTACAAGCATCTTTAGAATCCATTAAAAACAATTTTTTAAAAAACAAGCACATATTCCAAAAATAAATCTATTTTAAATAAATAGAACTCCAACTATGGCAATATACCTAGACAGAAATGTTAAATATTAAAATTTCATTTTGTAAATAGTTTCTGTAAGAATCTGCCTTTCTATCTAAAATCCAGAATGGACAGAGCTAAATATTACCTGCAAAACTTCAGTACCACCACTGCAGTATGTAGTTTCTATACCAGTAATTTAGAATTTAGCTGTCAGTATTTTTAAATTCATAAAAGATTTCAACAAAAATCCATAAAGTAAGCACAAAAAACAATGCAAGACTAATTTTAGGTCAATATTAAATCCAAGATGTAAAGGATATATTGCTGATTTAGATTTCTTTTTCTGACTAGTATATCAAAAATCATCCAATTATAGTCAAGTCTCCAGATTTTATCATTATCTGAATTTTAATTCATGGAGGGATTTAGAATTATTCCCAAATATGACTAGAATTATTCCCAAGTATGAGAGAGAGAGAGAGAGAGAGAGAGGGAAGGAGGGAGGGAGGGAGGGAGGGAGAGAGAGAGAGATTGAGATTTTACGAAATTCTTGTTATAAACATTCTCTTAAATACAGAAAATATACACATTTTATTAAATAATTATTAAAAATAAGTCACTGATTCAAAAGTTTTCCTGGCCATTTAAAACAAATCATAATTTCATTTTTAAAATCTGAGAAAGAACTAAAATAAAGAAAATGAAACATTAAATGTAGTAATAGATGTTTAGGGAATTTTATAAAACAAACCTGGCAGGCAATGCAGTTCACTGTAAATAGAGGAAAAATTCACATCTGAGTTGTCACATAACCCAAAGGTGCAACTGGACTTTTCTGATTTTTTCTGAAAACGTTTTGTTTCTCCTCTGAGAAGCTTCTTCGCTTCTAACTAAGTGGTGGGAAAGAAAGGATTTATACTCTTTTTAGTCAGCCAATCATTAACAGTCTAAAAGTCATTGAAACCACCTGGGGTTAACCTGTGTCCTCAAAGTACCTGAATCACAGTGCAAAGGAGTGCAGCTGTCTTGGGACAGCTGAAAGGATTGTATTATAAACAGGAGATAGGCGGTATTGTATCCCTCTCCCTCTGTTGAGGCAGGATTAACAGTTTTAACATAGCTTCTGACTCCTCTTTCAAAACAGTGGTACTCTCTGTCCAGAATGTGAACGTTGTTGTCTTCAAAGGAGTGGCCTTTGTCTTTCAGTTGTAGATGAAGTGCTGAATCCTGTCCTGATGAATTAATTCTCCTGTGTTGTGCCATACATTTGCGGAGTGATTGTTTTGTTTTCCCAATGTACAAATCTAACATACCTCTCTCTATTGCACTGCATGTGCAACATTGCTCTGTTAGTGCCTGGATGTTTTATTCTTAAGCTTCTGTCTTAATGTGTTCCTGGCTTAAAGTGTACATTATACTGTGTTTCTTGAAAATCCTCCAAGCTTCTCCAATACTCCTGCAACATTTGGAATGACAATGTTTTTCTGTTTGTTGTTTTCTTTTTCTCTTGTCTGTGATAAAACTGCTCCTACTAAATCTTTTGTTTGACAAAGGCCCAGTTGGGATAGCTGCAAGTTTTGAATACATCAAGGATAACCATGGCTAAATAACTGAGAATCTGCACAGACTTTTAGCCACACACTTTGGGATGAATATCTTTTCACTGATACAGGAATACAAATGAACTTCCAAAAAAACTTGCAGACTATAGGAACTAGTTGTGCTTCAATTTGAGATGCAGGCAACACAGACTCATCCCCAACAGCCCACACTTATGTTCAATAGTAAAATGACATAGGGCAGGAAACATCATACAGAAGTCATAGCTCCATCTTCTCAACGAAAAACAACAAAACACCTTTTGGACAACCAAACGTTTGTCATACTGTAGGGGCAATGGGTGGCATAGACATTTAATACATAAATAAATACATAAATTACCTGGGTAACTGAGAATTTCCATAGACAATTGCGATACGAGTTTATGAACATTGTAGACAAAGCTTTTTACACAGTTCCATAAAAATACTTAGCTACCTAGGTGTAAATTTTATTCTTCTTTTTTTTTAATTTGTAACTATATGCACATAAATAGTTAAGAGTGCAATTATTAACTTGCATAAAATACTGTATTTAATGAACCATACAGAGCTTCTGTGTTTACTTGGGGATTCATTAAAATATACAGTTTAGCAAGTTTAAACTTTTGCAGCAATGGAAAAGCACTGGAGACAGAGTACAGTTCTGAAGCTTCCATTTTTACCACAAAGCAGTACACTATTCAAAGATCTGTCATGCATCCCAAAAGTGTCATCGATATTCACACTTCTGTAAGCTCCAAAAAACAAAATAATTCATTAAGTTGATCAAAGCAATCTGAAGTCTGTAACCTGCTCTAAAGCTGATCAGACATGAACATGAGAAAAATGAGATAAAATATGAATAACACATTTCAAATACCTAAACAATTTCACACTGAAAAAGTTATTCTCAATTGTTTTGATTTTCATTTTGGAGTATTCCTCAGATACACAATTCTGCAAAAAAATATTCTTAAATTATAGGAAGCAGATTAAGGTTGAATATAGGAAAATGGTAGGTACACTCTGCTAGTGAATTCAGTTATTAGTGGAATGGTAAGCAACCTTTTACTTGATATGATCCACTGGAGACTAGAAAGCCATTTGTTTGGAATAGTTTAATTTGGATGCCTGAACTGAATATGAAATTGGATTTGATGCTTCAAATAAACTCTTCTAGCTCTGTGATTCTATGAACTCAAACTCCAATTCTCCCTAGGAAGCATACATCATACATTATATGGGAACTCTTCTTCACATCATGTATACAGTAGGTGCAAACTTCCAAAAATTGCAGTAGTTGCTAGAAGCCAAAACTGACTTAATTTTTCCTGTCAATTCTTCCTATACTGTCTCACATAATTAAGGGTGGGATAGATATATCTCCAACAGTGTGAATCAAGGCACAAAAGTCATTATTCAATATAGGAAGATGCTTGAAACATAATCAGAAGTTTTGGATCTTCTGTAAGCATAAACATAGAACATTTGTCTTACTATCTGTTTGGTTCCTAGAAACCTGAGAATAATGTAAGCATTTTAATTGATACCATTTTTTGTTTGAACAACATCAACTCACTAAATTTGAATAATTTTGTGATATACACATTACTAACAGATATTACATTTTGTTTTTCCACATACCTATCTATAAAACACTCAAAATCTGTTCCAAGTTAAATAGATTTTGTTTTAGAATTTTGATATTGCATTGACTATTTGAAAAAGTGCAAAACAAATATTTGAATACTTTGATTTTGCAATTTGGAAAAGAGTAGCAGAGAACTAAAGAAATTGAATTTCCATGTCAAATACAAGATAGATTTGTCTCTAAAAAGATTTGTCTGTCGGGTTAAATCCGTTTATTTTTGCAAAATAACCTAAATATAATTCATTATGAAAAATTGCTAATGCAAATAATAGTTGTCAATTAAGTTAAATTTCCATAGGAATATTGATACTTACCCATCAATAATTTAATAAATAGCTTTATTTACATTCAAAGTTCCCAATAAATACAACAATGGAGAAATATCAGAGTAAGGAAGAAATATAAAACAATTATTTATTTATTTATTTATTTATTTATTTATTTATTTATTTATTTATTTATTGCAATTAATATGCCGCCTTTCTCCCTAGGGACTCAAGGCGGCTTACAAAATGACAACTTCAATAATTCATATATAATTCAATAATTATAATCTACAGTATTAAATGATATAAAACAATGACATTTTATCAAAATTTTCATTGAAAATTTCTACTCACCTGTCACCCAGTAGTGGGTTTCAATTTCATTTGCTACCGGTTCACTTGTGGGCATGCATGTGCTTGCGCGACGCTTCTGCGCATACACAGACACATCTGGGTGGGTGGGTGGAGCCTCCCGCCACCGCCACTACCGGTTCATCCAATCTGGAGCGAACTGGTAGCAACCCATCACTGCTGTCACCTAAGAGAAAAATAATTTCTTCTTTTGATCAGTCATGTGTATTAATTCAGGCATTATCAAAACTTTATATCAGATTATCTGGAAGAAGAACACATGACATGGATTCTGCTTTTCTTATCATGCAGAGATAAATGTATTCCCTTACTCCTGCCATTATTTCTGGCAAACATCAAATACAGCAGGTATAAAGGCTAAAATACAATAGCAGCGACTAAAAGGAAGCAAACTCAATTTAAATAGGGCTTATTTATACCAACCTACATTAAGTACCTTTTTCACGTCAGACAACACTCTCTTAAAGTCAATTGAGGCCAAACATTAATCAGATAGGTTACACAAGTCTCATTTAATTGTCTCTGATCATGATAACACCAAAATGTCAAGTAATGTCAAGTAAGCAAAACAGTTTTCAAAAAACATCAATTTAATCTCAGTTTCAAGTGCCAAGACTTCTGTGAGTAAATTCTAGTCTAAACAAGGAGTTGTGAATGTGTTCTTTAAAACTTTGATGAAGACATATATAATAATTTCATAACAGTGCACCATCTGATAATAGTTCATTACATTTACTCGCTAAATTAATACTAACACTGGAATATAATAATATAGGGAACTCTTCTTCACATCATGCATACAGTAGGTGCAAACTTCCAGAAATTGCAGTAGTCACTAGAAGCCAAAACTGACTTAATTTTTCCTGTCAATTCCTGTGACACATTGGCACAGTAATTAAAATGCAGTACTGCAGACTACTTCTGCTGACTGCCAGCTGCCTGCAATTTGGCAGATCAAATCTCACCAGGCTCAAGGTTGACTCAGCCTTCCATCCTTCCGATGTTGGTAAAATGAGGACCCAGATTGTTGGGGGCAATATGCTGACTCTGTAAACTACTTAGAGATGGCTGTAAAATCACCGTGAAGTGGTATATAAGTGCTATTTCTATTGCTGTTACATTTCCATCATAAAGAATAAAATTTGCAAGATTAGACATCCAAGTAAAACTGGTGAGTACTCTCTCATGCCTACTTGATACCTGGAGAGGATAGCTACATCATTTTATACAATAAGATCAAAAATTATCTGTTGGCCAAAATTCAGATTTTGACAGAGCTTGCATAACACATTAGTATAGAAGTCACACTGGTAGGCATAAAATATATCCTTTTTATCCCTTATGTGTAGGTATATGTACCCAGAAGGTGGTAGATGCACACTTTGGAAAGCATTTATGAGTTAGTCCAAGTCCTTTTATCTTTCTTAAGCCTTATAAATCTATGTAATACATCTGTTTTAAAGATTATATCCCAGTGAAAACTTATTCAAACACGTTATGGGACCGTAGGTTTTTCTTGAAAATTTCATTCAATCATGAAATTGTTGGAAACTGCCTACACAAGTCTCTGCCATTTTCCTGGCATATTTTTATTCATCATAATGTTTGCAGTTTCTGCCTTCTAGGGCCAAGAGCAAATGACTGGCCCAAAGACATCCAGTTGTATTAGTGCCTAAAATGGACTAAAACTCAAGGTCTCTCAGTTTCTAGCAGATGCTTTAACCACTACACCAAACTGGCTCTCTATAAAATAAATACTTTCTATAAAGAACTCTTTACAATATATGGGAATAAATGTATAGAAAAAAAGACACATCCATACATACACACAATCATATTTACTATAATTTATATAATCACCATTTGAGACTTTTTCTGTTTTTTTAAAGTTTTATTAGATAGCAAAGCTGCCTTCTACCTTTTTATGAATAATAAAAATAAAGACATCGAAATACAAAACCAA